CTTCACGGATTGAGGGCGGGCCGTTTTCACAATGTGGCTCTCGCATTAGCGCCGCGCACATTCGTTTTAAACATTTGCAAGAGCTTCACGGATTGATGGCGGGTCGTTTTCAAAATGTGGCTCGCGCCTTAGCGCCGCGCACATTCGTTTTCAAAGTTTGCAAGAGTTTCACGGATTGAATGCGGGACGTTTTCAAAATGTGGTTTTCGTTTCGAGGATTGGGGGGGGAGAATCTCAGAGCCTCCTCGGGGAGAGGGGGGGATGAGAAGTGAGAGGACGGGGGAGGGGGGAGATCTGCAGAAGGTCTCTCTCTCTCTCTCTCGCTCTCTCTCTCTCTATCTTTCTTTCTCTATACATCTGTACTAGTAATTATACGCATATATATGTACACCCCAGGGCGCCCTCGAGGGCGCGAAGTTGCGTATTCGCGCCTCGCGCTTCGCGCTTCGGCTCCGATTTCTCTTCATCTTTCTTGCTCTTCTCCCCCGGGGGGCAGCGCGACATACATACATGCATCCACACATGTAGACATACACGCATACACACGTATATATATATATATATATATATACATTTGTATACATATTCAACATACATGCATACGTACATGCATACGTGCATACATGAATATATGCATACGTGCATACGTGCACATTCCGGCGCCCCAGCGCCCTCCCGCCGCACCCTCGTAGGTGTCTTGTCTTGTCTTGTCTTGTCTTGTCTTGTGCATAGGTGCATACATTCATAAATGCACACATGCATACATACATACGTACAGACCGACAGACAGGCAGACAGACATACATACATGCATACGTGCATACACACATGCATACAGAAACGCATACACATATTCTCACATACATGCACATCTACATGCATACATGCGTATGCGCATACATTTATACATCCATGCATGCATGCATACACATATGATACCTGAGAAAAAAAAAAACATTCCTTGCCTAGGCTCTGCCTAGAAGGGTTCTTACCCTGTATGCTTAAAGGGCTGGGCAGTGCTCCCCGCCCTGGGCGGTTCCCCCAGGATCCGCCCCGCGGCTCCCCCAGTGACATTCCCTTAGCTTAGCGTTGCTTATCTCGTCTTAGCTTAGCTTATTTCATCTTAGCTTATCTTAGCTTCATCTTAGCTCAGGTTTATCTTAGCTTGGCTTACCTTCATCTTAGCTTCGCCGAGCTTTAGCATAGCAGAGCACAGCATAGCATAGCAGAGCGTAGCACAGCACAGCGCAGCACAGCATATCATAGCAAAGCCCAGCATAGCACAGCATAGCGCAGCATAGCATAGCATAGCATAGCATAGCGCAGCACAGCACAGCACAGCATAGCACCGCGCAGCATAGCATAGCATAGCATAGCATAGCATAGCATAGCATAGCATAGCATAGCGCAGCTTACCATAGCATAGCACAGCATAGCATAGCTTAGCTTAGCATGGCACAGCGCAGCATGACATAGCATAGCTTAGCATAGCATAGCATAGCATAGCGCAGCATAGCATAGCATAGCATAGCATAGCATAGCGCAGCATAGCATGGCATAGCATAGCATAGCATAGCAAGTAATGCTGCTCTCCTAGGGGCTCCAACTTCTAGGTAGGGTCGCACTGGGGTAATCTTTTTAGGGCGATAGGGTTACGGGGCTATAGGGCTACAGGGCTATAGGGTTAGGCTATGGTGCTATAGGGCTATAGGGATATCGGGTCATAGGGTTGTAGGGCTATAATCATAGGGTTATAGGGCTATAGGGCTATGAGGATTTAAAGCTATAGGGCTACAGGGCGCTATGAGGTTACAGGGCTATAGGGCTATCAGGACTGAAGGGCTATAGGGCTGTAAGGCTATAGCGCTTTGGGGCTGTAGGGCTATAGGGCTGTACGGCTATAAGGCTAAGGCTAAGGCTACATGGCACCCGGGCACCCGGGCACCCGGGCACCCGGGCACCCGGGCACCTGGGCACCCGGGCACCCGGGCACCCGGGTACCCGGGCACCCCCCGGCACCCGGGCACCTGGGCGTCCGGCGAAAATCGGCGGCAAACCTGACCTAACCATGTGAATCCGCTAGGACCCCTACAGAGGCAAGCTCTGATTGGGGAACATACATACATACACACATACATGCATGCATACATACGTGCAGTCATACAAATATACATACAGACATACATTCATGCATACATGCGTACTTGCATACACACATACATACGTACAGACAGACAGACAGACAGACAGGCAGGCAGACAGGCAGACAGACATACATGCATACATGCATACACGCATACACACATACATACGAACACATACACACCTACATGCATACGTACATGCATACGTACATGCATACATGCATACATACATGCATGCACATACAAACTCATGCATACATACATACATGCGTACAGACCGACAGACAGACAGGTAGACAGACAGACAGACCGACAGACAGACAGACAGACATGCATAGACACAAAGACGCATACACGCATACACTCATACACACATGCATTCATATATGCGTACGTACATGCATGCATGCACGCATGCATGCATGCATACTTCCATGCATACATGCACATATGCATGCATGCATACATGCATGTATGCATACATACATCCATGTATGCATACATGCATACGTACGTACGTACGTATGAACGTGTGTATAATTATACGCACACACACACACACACCACTGCCGTGCCTGGCCAGGGCCACCCTCGGCACCAGGACGGTGCAGCGGCCCTCCCGGCCGAGGCAGGGAGGGAGGAGAAAAGACCCAGGGGGGGTGCAGGAGGTGCGGCCGCAGGAGGGAAGGGACGAGGACGAGGACGAGGACGAGGACGAGGAGGAGGAGGAGGGGGAGGAGGAGGAGGAGGAGGAGGAGGAGGAGGAGGGGAAGGAGGGGGAGGAGGAGGAGGGGGAGGAGGAGGAGGAGGAGGAGCAGGAGGCGCAGGAGGAGGGGGAGAAGATCAGGAGGGGAGCAACACAGACGGACAGAGAGAACCTTCCAGCCTCGGGAGAAGAAGGAGAATACGGGATGTGGAGGGGAAGACGAACCTCCAGAGAAGATAATTATGAGAAGTTGTAGGGGGGAAATCCTGGGATGCTTGCGTGTGTGTGTGCATGTGTGTGTGTGTGTGTGTGTGTGTGTGTCAGTGTGTCAGTGTGTCAGTGTGTGTGTGTGTGTGTGTGTGTGTGTGTCCCTGGGCCCCAATTCACAGGAGTGCCCCTGGCCAGGGGTTGCCCCCGGCTGCTCGCTCCGTTTTTGCAGCTCCCGGGCCCCCCCCTTGGACCTCGTTCGTGAGGGGGTGCGCCCTGGAGGCCGTGGGGGCCTCTTTGGGAATCCTGGGGGCACCTCTCGTCGGCGAGCGAGGGGGGGAAGTGAGAAGGAAAAGGCCTTCTCAAAAGGCTCGGAAGTCCCCCAGCCTTCTGTGAAGCTTGCCAAGCCTTCCCCGAAGACACAGCAAACTTCTCAGAATGCGCGAGTGCTTCTGAGAAGTCCGACCGCCTTCTGAGAAGGCCCTCTCCTTCTCATTTCCCCCCCTCGCTCGCCGCCGAACCTTGGGCCAGGGCACTTCTGGCCACACCCGACACGCGGGCGACGCAGAGAAACAGTGTTGTCTGCGCCAGCATTTACGCGTAGGCCGCCTGCGTGAGGTCACGCGTGAGCGCCCTCGTTTCCATTGCAGCATGCCGCGCCGGCGGGCCGCTTGTGCCACCGCGTAAGGTCGCTATGCCATCTGGCGTAAGCCCCGGTTCTTGTCGTCGCCCACGCAGGCGGGGAGGACGGAGGGCTTTTTTTTGACTGTACGGAGGGAGGGGAGAGGGAGAGAGCAGGGTGGCCGGGCGGGAGGTGACCGGCGGCCGACCACGGCTCGGACGGAGGCGGCGACGGCGACGGCGACGGCGACGGCGACGGCGACGGCGACGACGGCGGCGGCGGCGACGACAACGACGACGATGACGACGACGACGACGACGACGACGACGACGACGACGACGACGACGACCACGCCGACGACGACGACGACGACGACGACGACGACGACGACGACGACGACGGGGACGGGGACGGGGACTGGGACGGGGACGAGGACGAGGACGAGGACGAGGACGGCGGCAGCGGCGGGCGACGGACGGCTGATGACGGCGAGGAGCAGGAGGCGGAGGAGGAGGAGGAGGAGGAAGAGGACGAGGAAGAGGAGGAGGAGGAGGCGGAGGAGGAGGAGGACAAGGAGGAGGAGGAGGAGGAGGAGGAGGAGGCGGGAGGAGGAGGAGGAGGAGGAGGAGGAGCCCACCGTGCACGAGCAGCTCAACTTGAACTACTCTGGCATATACTTTGGCAGCGTCAACTGCGTGAATTAGCGCAGGCACGTGGTGTTTCCTTACCCTCCTTCGCTGCAACGCCTTCGAGGGATCATGATGATAAATTAATGTGCTACGACTGTGGAAAGGTCTTTGCGTCCCCTGGAGCTTGGAAGCGACATCAGACAGTACAGCATGCACGACGTGATGATGACAGGCTCATTCGTGGCACACTCTGTATGAATTGTGTGAAGGACTTTCATAACCGAGCAGCTCTGCTCCGACATGTAAACTATCGATGTCCACGTTGCCGTGAATGCTATCGGACTTTCGGTACCCCAATGGATGAGTCGGCACTTGCAGAGGCTGACCACATTGTTGCGAAGGACACAGCCAACTTGAAGAACCAGGGTTTTCGATCTGGTAAGGCTTTTATTCCGCCGACGCCATTTGATCCTCATTGGGTAACTTCTGTGGTGCACTGCTCTCATGTTATGGTTGATGATGTGATCCCGACCTTTCGAGAACACCTAGATGAGACATTTCAGGATGTTAACTTGACTACACCCGCTTCTATTGATATGAAAGCGCATTCCATACGGAATAGTTTCAGCGGTCACCGCAGAGAGTTTGACTTACAAGATCCGATTGAGAATATTGCAAATCGTATGAACACCATGATCATCGTCCTGTCGCTAGACGCCCAGAATAACGCCGACAGCGGCGACATGACGAAGGAAAGCAATGTTCACCACCGGATGGCGGCTATCGCGCAGGGGCTCGTCATCGCGGTGGTCGGCGGCCCGCCCTGCGAGACCTGGTGCCCCGCGCGCTGGCTGGAGGACAGGCGGGGTGGCAGACAATCGCGGCCCCTCCGCGCGAGGAGCCGCCGACGGGGCGCGGCCGGCCTCGCCAAGCAGGAGAGGGAGCAGGTGAGGCTGGGCAACGCGATGAGACGAGCCTTCTGCCTGCTGATGATGGCCGCCTGGCCGAGAGGGGTGCCCTGCATCATGGAGCATCCCGCGATCGCCCCGTGGCGTCCGCAGAGCACTGCCTCCTGGGAGACGCCCGGGCCGCGCTGGATCAGGAGCCTTGAGGCCATCGACTACTTGGAGATCGACCAGTGCTGCCTCGGGGCCGAGGCCAAGAAGCCCACAGGGCTGCTGGCCGCCAGCCTGCCGCAGTTTCGGGTGCTGGCCGCTGCCGCCCCCGGGCGGCCACGCGGCGGCGGTAGGTCGTGACGCCCACGGCGCCTGGAAAACCTCCCCTCTCAAGATTTATCCTCCCGATGTTTCGTTTTTCCTGGCCAGGGCTCCTGCTGCCAAATGGTCCAGGGACCTCCTCCCATGCTGGGAAGCTTGGCCGTTGCCCGAATCGATCTCGGACCTTTTTGTCCCCCTCGACCCGTTTTTCGAGTTCAGCAGCTCGGGACACGATTGCTGGCGACCCTCTTGACTTCCTTTGGCTTGGGGTCTTGTTCCTTGGGGCGTCCTGGCTCCTTGGACTTCGGGACTCGGGCTGCCCAGCACTCGTGCGTAGTGCCTGTGGGTCGTGGGCGCGGGCCCCCGTCACCTCCTCCCTTCGACGGCGGCGTCGGCGATGGACACACCATGAGTACGAGGCCCGTCGCCGCTTGGGCCAGCGCGGGTAGCTTGGGGCAGGAGTTCAGAACGCTGTAGAGCTGGAACGCAGAACGCTTGAGGAGGAGGAGGAGGCGGGAGGATGAGGAGGAGGAGGACTAGGCGGGACTATGCACTCCTCTTCCTCAACCTCCTCCTCAACCTCCTCCTCCTCCTCCTCCTCCTCCTCCTCCTTCCTCCACCTCTCCTTCCGCCTCCGCCTCTCCTCCTCCTCCTCCTCCTCCTCCTCCTCCTCCTCCTCCTCCTCCTCCTCCCCTCCTCCTCTTCCTCCTCCACGTCCTCCTCCATCATCCCCTCCTCCTCCTCGTCCCGCCTCCTCGTCCACTTCCGACCTCCTCCACCTCCTCCTCCCCTCCTCCTCAACCTCCTCGTCCCGCCTCCTCGTCCACTTCCTCCTCCTCCTGCCTCCTCCGCAGCCTACTCCACCGACCTCCCGCCTCCTCGTCCTCCTCCTCCCTGCCGCCTCGTCCTCATCTTCCTCCTCATCCTCATCCCTCCTTTCTTCTCTCATCCTCCGCCCTCGTCCTCCTCCTCCCCTCCTCCTCCTCCTCCTCCTCCTCACTCCTCTTCTCTCTCCTCCTCCTCCTCTGACCACCTCCACTGCCGCATGGGCGTACATGCCTGAATGGGCGGTTCTGGTCGGAGCGCGTGGAGTGCAGGTGCTCCAGTGCGGCGCTCCCCTGCGGGGGCTGGGGCTGGGAGCGCCGCGCCCCGGCGGGCAGCAAGCGGCAGGAGGTCAGCAGGGTCCTTCATATCGTTCGGAGGTGTGTGTGTGTGTGTCATTTTTCTCGGCGAGGACCCCCCAGGAGGATTTTGGTTGAATGCACCCTCGAGGAGGACCCTCGACGATCAATACGTAAGAATGCTCCGTTGACCTACTGACCATTCCGTGCATGCCTCGTACACTCGGGAAACCAGTTCTGGGGCAAATCAGCTCTGCGGTCGATCCCCTGCTCGAAGGGTCAGGGTGAGAGCCCCGCGTTGCACCGTGCAGGCACGTGACGAGCAACCTCGGCTACGTGCCCAACTATTACGACTACAGAGTCATGGAGGAGACGACGCGAATTGGTGGGTGGATTCGGTAGCACATCATGAGAGCCTGGTACACCCTCTGAATTCGTCTGGGTGTCGATGAGATAGCGCCGATTTAGCTTCGGTCAGCGTCGATTGGGCGCCGATTCAGCGTCGATTCAGCATCGATTTAGCGTCGATTTTCGTCGACTCGTAAGAGCCGAAAGGACGGTACGGGAGGTTCCCATGGGTTGCCACCGAAGGTGGAGCAGCAGATTGCACGGGGAGCCACGGGAGGGCGCCAAACCGCGCCCGCTGCCCACGCGCGCTCGCCGCGGGGCCTCCACGGCGTCGTCCGTCAGTATCGTTTAATCGATCCCCATCCCCATCCCCATCCTGACCCCCACCATTCCACCACCCCACCACCCCACCACCCCACCACCCCAGTTGGGGATATGCTCCTCGAAACTCGAAGGGAACAGCCTATATCCCCATTAAGGGGAATAAATCGTCCAGTGTGGCCCAGGCCACGCCCATGGGGATAGGGATCGGTGAAACGATGCTCAGTCCGATGCTGCGCGGATGCGTTTCGGCCGTCGATGCGTCGGTGTCGTGGGTCTTGCTTGGCGGCAGCCCGATACTCTGCATGCCGCTTATGCGGTCACCTGTTCGGCGCCCCTGCCGTGTGTGTATGTCACCGCGGAGGCGCGTCGATGTGTTCGTTGCATTCTCCGTCTCCTGTCCAGAGTGCGCGGTTGTGTGGCTTGAGTAGGGCTGAGGGTCAGAGAGCGCCTTCCTCTGCAGGACCACTCAAAAAGGGACGTCAAGGTGGTCAAACGCCTCGCCGTTTACGCCGACGACGGCGTGCAATCTCCAGCTATTCGCTTATGTCCAAGGTTTCGGCTTGACGCCGAGTGTGGTGCATCAGTTTCAGCTTGACCGAACAGGTTAGTTGCGCCCCTTGACGTCCGATTGGGGTGTTCTGCAGACCTGACCCCCCAGCCCTACTCAATGTATGGCTCCCCATTCGTCCATCATTGTCTGTATTTGAGGAGGCAGCGGAATATCCAGCGAGCTCTTTGCATACCCCGAAGGAAGCTGCGGTGGGTTCGTGTCGTGCCGACGTGGCGGCGACCCCGCCGCTGGCGTTCAAGGTCGAACGCCGGAGGAACAGGAGCAGGATCATGACAGGGGATGGCGCAGGGACCCACAGTGTCAGTGTTCAGTGTCGGTGTCCGTATTTTTCGACGTCGACGACGACGGTATCCGGCGTCAATGTCTGCATCCCAGTACGACGACGACGACAAAGGATGCCGATGATGATGAGCAGGAGGATGAGGGAGGGACGGGGATGGTGATGATGATGTCCAGCTTTTCAGTGTCCGTATCCCACGACGATGGATCCGTATCAGGACCCTCGTGGTCCCCGCCCTTTCTCTCAGGCTTCCCCTCCTCGTCCTGCCACCTCCCTGACCCCTTCTCCAGCCCCCGTGCCTCCTTCTGCCTCTCCTCCGACAACGACGACGGCGACGACGACGATTTCGACGACGGATGCGGCGACCATAACAACGACGACCACGACGATGACGACGACGACGACGACGACGACGACGACGACGACGACGACGACGACGACGACGACGACGACGACAACGACAACGACAACGACAACGACGACGCCCACCGCAGCGGCAGGAGCGTCAGAATACAACTTTGCGAGGTTGTATTCAGCATCGGCGCTGGATGTAGCCAGCCTCGAAAGTGGCGACATATTGGTTTTTCGCAGCCCTTCCAGGGATGGCGAGGTCGGGTCTGCGTGGGGTCCCACTGTGCGGGCTCCCCCAGCAGCCCTCGAAAGTGGCGACAGTTTCACACTTGGCAGCTGCCCAGTGATGGCGAGGTCCCGTTTGGGTCTGCGTGGGGCCCCTCTCGGCGGTCCCTCAGCAGGCAGGTGCAGGCAGGTGCAGGCAGGCGAGAGGGGGACAGAGGGCGGAAGGAGGAGAACGGAAGACTGGAGACCCCATTCCTTTATTCAAAACGAAAACCCAACCAAGGGAGGGTTGGAAACAAAAACTCTGGGTGTGTCGCGGGGCGGGGCGTCGGCGGTTCGCGAGGCTCGAGCACCAATGTAACGAAGGACGCCGCAGGCGCCGGCTTCTCTTCAGCACGATCAGCCCGCCGCATGCGGCGATTCGATAGCTTTCAGTTCACTGTTGTTGGAGGGTCGCCTGTGGGTCGCGGCTGAGTCGTGGGCGTGAGTCGCGGGCATGGGTTGCCGGTGGATCGCGGGTGGGTGGCGGGATGGTCGGGGGTGGGTCGCAGGCGGGTCGCGGGTTGGGTCGAGGGGATCTTGAGGCGGGTCGTGGAGGCGACCATGAAGACGACGGCAATGACACAACACAGCCAGAATCGACACCACGGAACTCTTTGTCGGCCACGCGCCCAGGGACAGTGTGAGACCGTTCGGCCCCCTCGCCACGGTACGCGTCAGTAACTGCCACGCTGCGGGACTGTGCTCCGCTGCGCTCCCGCGACCGCCTGCACCCCCTCCTCCGCCGAGCCGCCGCGCCCCCTCCCGCCTCGCCGCCCCTGGCCCGCGGCCGCCCCGCTCTCGAGCCGCGGCCCCCCGCGGGGCCCCGAGCGCCCTTCCCGGCTGGCCCCGCTCGCCCCGGCAGACCGCGCACCCCTCCCGCCCGGCCTTTACGGATGGTCGCCGCGGGTGGGGTTGCCCACACGGTCCTGCTCCGGAGCGACGGCACGGTCGCAGCCTGCGGCAATAATGCGGACGGCCAGTGCGACGTGCCGGCGCTGGAGGGAGGCGTGACCTACACGCACGTCGCCGCGGGTTGGTACCACACGGTCCTGCTCCAGAGCGACAAAGCGGTCGCAACCTGCGGCGACAATGCGTACGGCCAGTGCGACGTGCCGGCGCTGGAGGGAGGCGTGGCTTACACGCACGTCGCCGCGGGTGGGTGCAACACGGTCCTGCTCCGGAGCGACAAAGCGGTCGCAGCCTGCGGCAATAATGCGTTCGGCCATTGCGACGTGCCGGCGCTGGAGGGAGGCGTGACTTATACCGCGTGCCTGTTTGGAGTTAAGTTGCTCCTGCAGGCATCATTCGAAGGCGGTTCATTGCGCTTCCTGACTTTGGGCGGAGTGGAACGCTGCCGACTCTTGGCTGCTCCTGGTGCTCTGCTCGCAGATGTGCACCGCCAGCTGCTGGCCGAGCATGCCGCAGGGAGGCTGGGCCCTGGATTTGACCGTGTCGACGTCGTCCTGCCAGAGAGGCTTCTCCTGAGTGAGGCCTCGGCGGACGAGACCGTCGCAAGCGTTTTTGGGGCCCGCTCAGCGCGGCCAGAAGCAGAAACGCCGGGCTCGGCGGTCCTCCTGCTGTTCTCGGAGGGGGCGATGGGGGCGAATGGCCCAGGGGCGGGCATCACGTGCAGTCGCCTGGGGGGCCTCGCCGAAGGCAGGGACCATCGGCGACTCTGGATACATGTATTGCTCTCCCCTGGGCTATTCGCCCCCATCGTCGCCCCTGATTTTCCTGCTTTGCCCATCACGCTCCTCTTCCTCGCACCGCCACTCACCCTGGAGTACTCTGTTGCTTTCTCATGCGGGCTTCACTTCTGAGCCTCTTCCACGGGGCTCAACTCGCGCCCCCTTGCTGAAGCGAAGCTGGCTTCCGAGTCTATGGTCGGCTGGAGCCGCGCCAGCCAGGCGGTCTGCTCCCTCCTTCGCCGCACCATCTTCCTCCCTCATTCATCCCTCCCTCCCTCGCCTTCCTCTTCCTCCACCTTCTCTTGCACCCCTTTCCATTATTAGAGAACTCTTCGTCTGACTAAAGTTTCTCATCGTTTCAGGGGTGGAGAAAGGCTGCCCTTTCAAAATGAGGGTCCTTCCTGAGGGCCGCGCGCATTCGTCTGCAACGTAACTAACTATTCAGTTGCCTTCGGCCCACCCCGCCACCGCGCCTAGGTTGTCAGTCAGAGGAGGTGGAGGGGAGGTGGAGGTGGTGGAGGACGAGGACGAGGAGGAGGAGGAGGAGGAGGAGGAGAATGCCGGGTAGGATCTATTTGGGGCCCTCTCGGAGGCCTCTCGGGAGCGGCTTTTGGGGCGGTGTCGGGGGCGCCTCGGGGGCCTCTTGAGGTGGGGCCTCCTCGGGGGGCTTTCCTCGGGGGCCTCTTGAGGTGGGGCCTTCTCGGTTTGGCGGTCTGCGTGTGTGTGTGTGTGGTTTGTGTGTGTGGGGGGGGGGTATGTGTTTGTGTGTGTGCGTGTCTGCGTGTCTGCGTGCGTGCGTGCGTGCGTGTATGTGTGTGTGTGTGTGTCTCTCTCTCTCTCTTTCTCTCTCTCTCTCTCTCCCTCAGCGGCAGGGCAGAGGCGCTCCGCCTTCACATCTCCCTCCAGCCGTACTCGGGTCAGCGCGTATGGCCCGAGGCATTCTGCCATGCTGTCTCTCATGTCTCCTTCTGGAGCTTAGCATGTCGGGTGTTTGCGCGCGTCCAGTGTGAGATGGGGTCCGCTGGCGGGCCCCCAGTAGCCTCAAGCTCCGCCCTGGGGTTAAGATGTTCCAACCGGCTTTAGCCTGAACTACCAGAGAGAATGTCGAGCACCAAGAAAGTACCCCAAAACTCGAGCGTTTTTACGTGTCGGGCCCTGGGAGACATTCGGCCGACACTCTTTCGACATTATTTCGACACTTTTCTGGGTGCTCGAAATTATTTCTGGGATGTGGTCCTTAAGTACGATGGGGGCAACATAACCTTGGGATGATATGGGATGAATATGGGATGATCATGCAACTCAAGTGAGCAGTCCGGTGGGGCCAGAGAGGATCGCACAAGGTAGTGGGATCGATGACCTGGAAAGCAGTGCGCCATGACGTGAAGAAGAAACAGCAGCGTAAATGTTCGGAGCTCCGCTCGGAGTTCTGGCGCGCTCCTCGCGCCAGGGAGAGGGGCCAGCGCCGATCTGGGAGATCCGCGCGGACCTCCGAACGTGTATGTCTATGCAGTTTGTTCTTCCTCCCATCGTGCACAACCAGGTAGGAGTGGAACGTTTTTTGATTCGCTTCCTCCGCCTCCGCCTCCGCCTCATCCTCATCCTCTTCCTCCTCCCCCGTCTCCCTTTTCCTTGTTTTGAGACCGTCCTTCCCCTTCTCCGCCTTCTCGTCTTCCTCCGCCAGACCTCCCGAGCCCACGCCGCTCCTCCCCCGTCTCCCTTTTCCTTGTTTTGAGACCGTCCTTCCCCTTCTCCGCCTTCTCGTCTTCCTCTGCCAGACCTCCCGAGCCCACGCCGGCAGCATTTCCACAATATTTCGCTCCTCTCCCCTTGCCCTCCCCTAGAGTCAGGCCATCCCCCGTCCCCCCCTCGGAACCAGGGCAGCACATCGGCGAAGCCCGTCAGGCAGCAGCGGCAGAGTCAGAGAGCGGGGAAAGAGACAGAAAGGGAGCGCCGAGCACGCATTTTTTTGACTCCAGATCCGCCGTACTGTGGTTGATTCCACGCATTTGAAATTGTGTCGGCAATGCACCCAGAAAGATGCGAAAAAGCAGGGCGGATTTTTCAGCCTCAGAACATTCGGGCGGCTGTTTCCGTTGGGCGATGACAGAAACAGTGGCGGCCGAGTAGGGCGGACGTGGGCATCAAAGGAGCTTGAGCAGCAGGGCGGACACTTCCGCCCTGCTTGCGAAGTCGCCCAAAGCACGGCGGATCCGGAGCGAGGGTCTGGGGCTTCGAGCCGGACGTGCACAGGGAGCGGGCTCCTGGCGGGCCTGCCGGACAGGGCGCCAGGGCGCAGGACAGGCACGAGAGGGCGCGTGGCGCGGCCCGCCACCACTGCCGGTCGAGGGGCGGCTCAAGGGGAAGCAGGGGGGAGGCCAGGCAGGCGGGGCCAGCTTCCTCGCTCCCCCCTCCCACCCCGCCCTCTTCGCTTCCCTGGCTTTTCCTCGTCCACCCCTCCCCCTCCTGCTCTCCCTCCCTCCTCCCCCGGGCTGGAGCCCTCACCTCAGAGGGGGGCAGGGGGAGGGGGGAAGGCTTCTGAGAAGCACCCCTGCTTCTTCGAAGGTGCGGGCCGTGTGAAAAGGTGTAGGGTCGCCCCGCTCCTGCGCGCTGGCCAGTTCGCTTCTTGGTGCTCCTGTTTAGCTCTATCGCTGGTGCAGCCAACTCTGCCTCGCCGCCGACGAAAAAAGTGTACAGATGTAGGGCCCGCGCCTTTAAGAAGCAGCCTCCCTCTAAGAAGCCCTCCCCCCTCCCCCATAATCCGCTGATGCGCGCCACCAAGGATGGCCTGGACTGACCTGGCCCTCCTCCCCTGCCCTGCCCCTCCTTCCCCATCCACCTGCACCCTCTTCTCTCCTGGCTCGCCCGCCTCCTCCTCCTCCTGCTCCTCCTGCTCCTCCCCTTCCTCATCCTCCTCCTCCTGCTCTTCCTCCTGCTCCTCCTCCTGGTCCTCCTCCTCTTCCTCCTCCTCTTCCTCCTCATCCTGTGCACGCGGCTCCTCTTTCTCCGATGGCGCACAGCACGAAGTGGTCTTTTCCTGTGGGAGTCGCTGGTTGGCAGAGATGCGTCCGCTGACAGAGAAGCATCGGCGCGATGGGAAGGGGTGGGAGGGAGGGATAGGATGTCATATGAGGCGCGAGCGCACCTACCGCTGTTGGCGTGAGAAACGCCCACCTAGAAACGACACTGCGAAGTGCCCGCCCCAAGACCCCCGATGTCAATGTTGCGTTCGCGGCCACTGTCGGGGTGCAAACATCGGCACAAAAAGACG